TATCGCTCTTGTATACAGGCAGCCCCCATTTTCTTATTCGTCCATGTGAAGAGGTCACCTTGGTACCCTGTATCATGGAGACCAAGGTCCTGGACAAAATTACGCAGATCAACTGACCCGCATTCCACGGGTTACCACCATCTTTCTCATTTTCATGTAGCGTGACATTGAAGTCCCCTATTACCACGTAGGGCAATTGGACCTCGTCACAAATCCCCCGCAATTAAGCTAGCTGGTATGATCGAAGAGCAGCGTGACAGCTGATGTAAACACAAAACACAATATACGGAGAATCGACTTCATTAATTTGAACACCAATACAGAAATTTGAATTATAAAATACCGAAGCATCAACTTCGGGGGACCAAGCTACCACTAACCCACCCGATGCATTAACCGCATCAACAAAAAAACAATGATCAACAGAAAATCCTAACCCCCTAATACTAGGGGTGAACAAATACACCCGCAAACCGACCCACCCGTCCAACCCGACCCAACCCACCCGTATTTATCGCTAAATCGAAGGTTTTGGGTTGGGTGAGGGTTTTCTTTTGTACAACCCGCCTCTTTTTAGTTGGGTTTGGATTTTGGATTACACAACCCGTAGAACCCGACCCAACCCGTGTTCCAATTATTGGTATGAGTTTGTATCCAAAAAAAATATTTATGTTATATATAGCCATACTTATGAGAAAATTAAGATATTTCGCCATGTTTTTCTCTTAAGCTCTCACTAATCTAATGCATTCTTCGACTTAAAGTTTAGACATAGATTTAAATATAGCTATGATTCACGTAATTCTTTTTCTTGTGTACAAATTTAAAAGAATATCATATTATGGATGCATTCATTTGTAACCTTTTTAGCCTATTTCAACAAATGTCGTGAAAAAAACTAGACATAAGTTGAAGTAAATCAAGTTTTATTAAAATTCAAACAATATTTGTGAATTTTGATACCTTTCACCTCGGTCTATTCGTTTGAATTTTTAATTTGTTATAAAATATTTTTATGATGTAGAATAATTACATATTTTGTGTTGGGTTGGGTTTTTACTTAAAAATATCGCCAACCCGACCCAACCCAATTAGAAACAAACCGTAGGGTTTAGATTTTTTTGGGTGGGTTTGGGTTTAATATTTCCCAAACCGTAGTGCATGGGTCGGGTGATTAAAATGCCTAAACCCGGACCACCCGACCCATGTACACCCCTACCTAATACGCTGGAGACAACACGCCGACTCGATCGCGTCTCCGAAAAGAACACGAGATCCGGTTTATTAGAATGAAATACCCCTACAACAGTTTGGAATGTGTGTGATGCCCCAATTGCCTTCACATTCTAGGGCAATAGCCTCATTTATCTGGTTGGGGCCACTCGCGGTTGGCTTCCTCCACCGAATCATACTTCTTCACTTCCTCCACAAATTGCTTTTTAGGCGTAGGTGATTCTGCCAGACACCCCACTACCTCTTCCAAAGGCCTTTTACAATTACCAATGGCCGGGTCCAAGAGATTCGAGCCATACTCATCCAAGGAAGAGATCGATATCCCTTCCTCCACATGTGGATGACTCCCCATCATGGCAAAAGTTGGAGTCTTTTTCTCAACAGTAATATTAAGACCGGACTCAAAGGCAGCGACCACTTGCTGGACTTGTCCTTTTGTGACACGCTTGGTTTGAATCCCAACATCCTCTGGTTCACACTTCTTTAACTCAAAGACACCACCATCATCCTCCGAGTGGGAAGTTAGCGACACAGAGTCACCCTGAGCGCCCTCCGTGATCGCCCCTCCAGCTTGAGGCAGAGGAGAGTCGAGTAGGAAGGAGGGTTTACACTTCCCCATTATCCCCGTTGCTCGAATTGCACCGGCGGAGGGGCTACCCGCCATTTTGGCATATGCTCCCTCTACACCAGTATCCGCACCTTTGCCCTTGGATAGTCGTTTCCGAGCCCTAGCAGGCGCCCCCTTCTGATGTCGTGCCCCACTGGAAGGCTTCCTAGCTTTTGGTGCGGCAATTTTCACACCATGACCCACCTCCCCCAAACTACGTAGCTGCATGGGAGAAGAAGCATGCATCCTCCCCGCCATCGTTTCCTCCACGTCATCCTTACGAATCAAATTCTGAAACTCGAAATCATCCTAAATGATTAGCCTTCGCCGCCGGGAATCATCCACCACACTACTCACCGGCCTGAGATCGCCCTTCCCCATCATGTTTGGCAATCGTACCTGTTTCCCCTCTCGTGCATCAATCACACGAACCCGGGCTTCCCCTGCAGCGGCTGGCGGTCTGCCTGGGGATGAGGCTTGCGACCTAACCCCTTTCCAGTTCGAACCCGCTGAGAATTCGCCACATTGAAGCCCCACGGACTGCTTTTCCCGAGAGGCTGGTGCGTGGCTCCTGACAGCTGAGGGTTCCTCGCGCTACCCTGTTCCCAATTATCCTTCCGTGGAATTCTGGGACGAGATTGGGCTAGCTTTTCACCAGCATGTGCCCACTCCTCCTTCCGCTGAATCATGGGCCGAGTATCATCCATTGGATCCACAGTCACAGGCCGCGCACCTCGCCCAAGAGCACCTTCATCAACCACGTTCTTATTTTCTCAGATCGCCTTGTTAACCCAAACCAATTTCCGAGCACCATCGAACACTTGGTCAGGCTCGCCGTCTTCATAAACCCTCCGACCCGGTTTCTTCGTGGTCATATGGGGACCAAATTTTTCTTTCCTAGTCGGGGGGTCGTACAGACACTCACGTTGCAAATGACCCAGACTCCCGCAATGGAAGCAGAGGCTAGGTAAGAACTCGTATTTGAGGGAGACCCAAAACCCTCCAATCTTTTCGCTAGCCGCATAGAGCTGAGACCTCAATGACTTAGCGAAATCAACCATCGCTCTTACTTTCACGAAATACTTTGAAGTCTCTTTACTGGCGAACACACCAACTTCCAGGACCTGCCCAATGGTTGGGGCAACCAATTTTTGGCCGAATTGCTTAGTGCAACAATCATCTTTCACCCCCCCCCCCCCCCAGAGTTGAATGCGGAATGGTGCGATTGCCAGTTCATCAAAGGTCGTTTGTGTGACAGCAGGTGTCCAGGATCCCAGGTTAATGAGCGTATCCCTGACGACTCAGGGGGTTCGTTTCAACACCCAGACCTTGGATTCTGCACTCGGCAATACGAACTCGAACAGGCCATGCTTAGCCTGCGAGACCCGAATTTGGCCCCTCCCTTGCCAATGAGCGTTCACAGCGTCACGGAGTTCCGTGATCGGAAAGGCTACATCATTAAACACCCTGCCCAGCAGTGTTTGAGAGGATCGAAATCGCACCGATTGAACGTCTTCCAATGAAAACTGAACAACTGTATCTTCCGTGACATGGGCCATCTCGGTAACCTGAAAAATCATCGGTGCATGGGTATAATCCTCATTAGATCGTGGAAGGAGTTCTCCATCTCCCAAGTCTAACGATACCAGGCCAACCATTTGAATAAACATGGAGGGACAGGGTAGGAGAGGGAAAGAGATTAACGAGAAAGGCCACAAGGGAGGGAGGGCACGAGGCGTCCCGTTACCTGGGGTCTTCCTGGCGTCAGCTTAAGGACAAAGGGGCAGGGTCGGGACGCTTCTGTTCACCATAGGCAGCTCTCTTCTTCGGTGAGGTAGAAAAGGCTGGGTGGGTGTTCTTTTATAGGGAAACACTACCCCCTACGTCCCCAAAGCAACGTACCAGAAGCACCTAGCCCTATTAGAGTTGGACAAGGACTAGGAGTTACAATTTGAATATTATTTTTACGGTTACCAGAATGAACCGAAAAAATACGCCCCCCTTGATTCATGGGATTCCGTCTCGGGAGGGAGACTCACCAACAAGCACTAGGTTTTTTTGCCGGTTTACCCGTGAACCGCTGTCGACAGGGTAGCAATCGATCCACCACATCTGGGATTAGTGTCGGCAACCAATATGGCGGCCAGACTTCCTTCAATCTTCCATGCTCACGAGCCATCGTCTTAACAACGGTCATGTAAACGGATGGAGGTGCTTGGTCCTCCATGTGAGATGATGAGGGCAGGCAAAATCGCCAACCCTTCATATTTTGAATCTTTGGTTTTTTAGGGATCGTGAAGCTCTCACTATGCTTAATATTACTGATCTTTTGGTCAGTATTAGATAGCGTACTTTCACGAAGGACACGTTTAACTTCGCGGTCCATTCTCGTGAAATCTCGAGGGAGACGCCGGCGCATAGCTAGCAGGGGCACCGATCGATTATGATCGCTAGTGACCCAAGTCTCCCAACTCACTCCGTCCGCTCGCTGATTCATTAAGCTAGCGCGGAGCAAGGCCGCCATTGCTTCGAGGAGGAGGCGGCCGATCCAGTTTACCAGGTCGAAGAGAGAGGACAGAGCAACTCTCATACTTTTTTTTAACCCGTATGACATGGGAATCCTGGAATTCATGGATTTTATGTATTGAAATTGGGATAAATATTGTGTTTTGTTTTGCTAGACTTTGTTGCAGGTTTGAATGTAATTTTGTGCTCAGTTCTAGCTCAATCTTGACCTACAATGAACATTTTATGTTTTGAACTCGATTTTGGACTCATTAACCTTATTTGACGAGCCGAACTTGAGTCAAACTCGAGCTTTCATTTTCATTAACAAGCTCGAGCTCGAGTTTGCATATTAAAACTCGTGACGAATTCTAATCGAGCTCGAGCCTGGAAATATATTAACAAGCCGAGCCTATGGCAAAGTTCGGCTCGGCTCGTTAACAGCCCTAACTATGGCACTGCCTCTAAAGTGTCTATTCCTTTGCCCCCATGCAAAAGAACCAGACATTGGTGTAGACTTTAGAGAGGTTAAGAATCTCAAGAACTATGTTTTTTTGTTATTTTTACGTACATAGTAACTTACAACTAGTCGAGAGAGGAGGCAAATAAGAAGTTAGGAGAACTTAAACTCGAAACCTGTAAATGGATCGACGTCAGTCTATGAGCCTGCAATTTCACAAAGACAGACAAAAAATGACGACAAGTTGAAGTAAACATCCAAGAGCAAGAACGAAAAGTTGGTCTCGCATGATGAAATTCCACAGACTTTTACAACATGTTTTTTTTTCTAATCCAGACTTTTTTCACCACTTATGTTCGGAGGCTAGCTGGTATCTGTCCTGCACAAAGTTAAACTGCTATCGATCACCCTCTGCTCTAACAACTAAGGCCTGTACAGACGACCAAATGTTACAACCCACGTCCTTTACTGCGAATGGAAGATCCGCCAAACGGGAAAGCTTCTTGCTCTGCCGGCCACCACTCCACGCTCGTCTTCCATTGCTACTTCATGTTCATGTATGATGGACCTTGGTCAATGCTTGATAAAACATGTCTATGAATTGATCGTCCTGCCACATTCACAAGTCAAACAGTATCCAATCAACAACTTTCCAGTCGTCATGACTCATGACACCCGTTGGGGGCCAGTTGATCAAAATACCAACTCTCCAATATTGATGTCACAACTCACAACAACCATATGCAGAAGACAAACGTTCAAGTGAATGCAGTAAATGGAAATTATAGGTAAGCAGTACCTGCACAAGCTTCAGCAGGGCATCACGGACTTTGTCTCGGTTGATTAGAGGTGTAGCTGCAGCAGTAGGAGTAAGAGATGGAGGTGGGTTAGGAGGGGGGAAAGGTTGAAGCATTGGGGTACCATATGGTCGTTGTTGCATGTTTATGGGTGGATTTGCAGCAACAGCAGGAGGGAGAGATGATGAAGAGACTGATGGTGGTACCATCAGTGAGGATGAAGTAGAAGGTAGCACAGAAAATAAAGAGGGCTTCACAAGACTAGCGACTCGGTCACTGGAGCTGATTGAATCAGGGATGCCATGGACAGGCTTTGAACTTGAGATGGAGGAAAGAGATAGGGGCAGCATTTGGGGGGCCAGTGAAGCGGATGTGACAGCAACATTCGCATTGGCAATCAATGGGGCTGTAGAAGAATGGTAGTTTTGTCTTGAGTTTGCCATAATGGGAGCAGAGTTTCCAATATTTGCTGCTGCCTGTAATCATATATCAAACAAAATTTGGGTGAAGATAAAGATAAGACAAAGGCGGATTTGACAAGCAAACATACTGCCTAATTGAAGTACTTTCACGCCCTAAGATAACAAACACTTTGGGTACCAGACAAATCTTTGTGCTATTTAATAACAGACATTTGAAGTTGCATGGAATGTTCAAGCAAATGATGTTTTTTCTTTTTTTCACAAGTGAACTCTGTGGTGGGATGAGTAACATTATGCAGTAGCATAGCAAGAAAAACCTTGCAGATATCTCCATCGTTACCAATTAAATAGTTGTAGGTCATTCACACCCCTGCTATTTCAATGTTCGCAATTTCTTTTCTGCACTCATGGAAAAATTGGAGTGCTATATTCTAATTTCGCAAACAAAGTGACTTCATTCTCACTACGCAACCACCTAATTGGACACCCAAGAGTACATGGTAGGTTAAAATATTTTCATAAGCTTACATGCACCAAAGAAGAAATGCAGAATCCAGAATCTAAAATTGTCGTGTGTATGGGTAGATAACCAAAGGTGAAAATTCACATCTATGGTTATGGAGGATAAAGAAACTTACGCTAAAGAAGTTCTCAAATGAAACGTCTTCCGGAGCCTCAGTTGCAACAATGGCAGTTGAGGACGGCTCCAGAGGTCCCTCAATCACTGATATGTTTGGAACTGCTTCAAGCTCCTCAAACTCGCTAAAACAGGATGGAACATACACAAAATAGAATTCCATATAAGCTGCATGGTTTGCTTCAGCCACAAATTAATGCCAACTTCAACGATTGCATTAGTTCCAGAAGTCTAATTTTCAGAATTTCCAATTCCAATAACATACAATTACATCCTAGATCACGTTATTACAGTAGCAAGAAATGAAAGAGTTAAAAAAATGTTTTTCCTCACATCATTCACATCTCAAGGACAAGTCAACCAAAAAAATTGCTGTCAAAATTGTTTTTGCAATCCCAAGAAAGCTTTACTTTCATAGTCAAGATATGAAGAAATAGAACATGCAGGTTTTCATATGTATGCTTCAAATGCCAAAGATCCATTCAGGATAATTTTTAAATATGGATGGATTAAGATATAAGATTGCAATCTGCTGCTCCAGTATATGACCATCAACACATATTTGGTTGAATAAGAGAGTGGTTGAATAAGAGAGCACCAATAATCACGTATACCATTACCTTTTGCTTGACACCTTAGGTTTTGCAGGAACCTTTGAGTATGCATTGAGTATCCTGAGACAGATATCACAAGAATAATTAAACAGTAAGAAGTAAATTAAAAAAATTCTAATGGCAAATGATGCTTCAAGCAGCCATCCCTGACAACTGCAACCATGCTTTCAACTATTACTCCTAGATTCTCAACACCATTATCAAATTGCAGTAAGAAAATTCAAAGCCTGGAGAGGCTTGCTCGTTTATGTAAACATCAAATGGACATAGTTTCAGGCCGATCCCACCTAAACCTCCAAAGGCAGTATAATAATAAGATAATACACACAAAATTTATACTTAGACAATCTATTAAGGCTTCTCATTTTATACAAAAACTCCATGGTACCATTTAGAGTTGTGAATAAGAGCGTTCAATCTTTTAAGCACAAACAAAGTAGCTAAGAGATGGTTCCAAAGTTCTTTACTGAGCAGTCCAAGAACAGTTTTCTCAGTAAGGCAGCTAAAGAATTCCTCTCTAAGAAGCAACAAACACCACAATTGCATAAAATGCCTCCATTAATAAACATATAATGACTTTCACTTAGCAACCATAATTCCACTTTCAAGCTTTCGCTGCGTCTAATACATGAAAAGAAATAATAGACACGACTAACGTCTGATTTCCATAGTCAATAACTCCGTAACCATCCACTTGTGCATGCACGGGCACCAAGGGTATACAGAGAAATGCTAAACTAACGAGTTATGAACTTCCAGTTCCAAATACTTTTGTCCAACAGATTGAGCATCTTAGGACGCCCATGCTAGGCACCCGGCACAAAAATCTACCATAAAGGAATGTGCCATTTACCTAGTAAACAGATTAGCAACATCTTCACATTCACGCGGGTTGTAGAACCAGATCCCATTAACCTCTTGAGATGCATTACGATACAGCAGATACGGAACCTGAATTTCATACTCAAAATCTCCCAGCAGATTCTCCACCAGGTTATCTGCCATTTAAGAAACATGAATAATTACTTTCTCAGGCCTGGCAATCTAAGTGAAGCTGAACACTGCAGAGACTCAACCTCACCGCCTTGTTCAAACGAGAAAAAGGAAACACCATTAAAACTATTGCAAACCTGTGTTTCGCCGATTCATCACGATGAACTGGAACCGAGGCTGAGTATTCCTTCAACAATAAGAAAACAGTAACAATCCAATTATAAGCACTCCATTAGGAAGTCAAATCAGCGACACTTGCCAATATCTCCTAACGCAAACAGACCAGTAGGAAGTTGAAATACCTCTTAACTACAAACAGAGATCCTTCGACATCCTTGCGGCCCTGCAATCGCAACATCGCATACAAATTCGATCCTGTCAGATGTCGCAGGTCTCTCAATAGTCAATCCCCTTCGCACTAGGCTTTCCGAACTCGTAGTATAAGCAGGGCCGTCCCATAATATTCGGAGGCCCTGTTCGAAAATTTAAAATGTGGCCCTAAAATTTTTCTCCACAAATTTATTAAAAATAAAAATTATTAAATAATTATAAAAAAATGCATAGTCTCATAAAATGATTACAAAAGAAATAAATGATCACATTTCTAGTTTGACGAAGAAAACAAAACCAAATTCCCAGGGCTGTCTAATGCTTCGTGGGGGCCTTGTTCCAAAATTGAGACGTGGTCTAAATTGAATTTTAATTATAATAAAACTAAAATGACTGTAATATCTTTCTACATAGTTTAAAATAAAATTAGGGTAATGTCTATTTTTTATCCAAACCTTTTTCAGATTCTTTTATATTATCCAAACCTATTAAAAATTTATTAATTAGCCAAATATTTCATAATGCACCAAAGTATTAGTCATTTTTATGTTATTGTTAATAATTCTGTAACTCTTTTCTTAGTTAAAATACTAAAATTTTGGAATCTTGACCTTCATGTGTCTCTTCCAAGTCAGTATCATGTTGTCAAGTCAATATTACTAACAAAAATGCTAACCGAAAGTTAACATTCGGCTAATTTTTAGTATTTCGATAGGTTTGGATATTATAAAAGAATCTGAAAAGGTCTGGATAAAAAATAGACGTTACCCATAAAATTATCTATTATCTTTCTTATTTTCGTATTCTTCATGATATCATTTTTAATTGTTATTATAGCTAAAATTATCTATTAAAATCGTCATCATACTCATAATCAATCAATCATATACTAAAAATACAATCTACAATGTACGATCGGTAACTAACAAATCTAAGTGGAGGCCCCTAATATTCGGAGGCCCTGTGCCGGAGGGCGGGCCAGCACACCCTCTAGGCCGGCCCTGAGTATAAGCCAGAAAAGGGGAGAAATGGGGGAAGAAAAAGGATGAGGGAGATTTGGTGAAAACGTACCCACTGACTGCTATCGATGTTAAACTCGTAGAAAGTGACGTGAGCGGCGGTGATCAGAATCTCTTCGATGAAAGGATCCATTCGCTGAAGCACGGTGAGATTGAGCACCTTAGTGCTCTGCTGATCCAGATTTGGCATCAACTTCCCCGGCTGAGACATTTTCCCTCCAAAGAAACCCTAATCGATTTCGATAGTTGCCGACTGCAAGCCCAGCTCTGATTCTGTGGAGTGAAGTGCGATCCTTTTTCCAGTTTACTGCCCAGATAGGACCGTTCGCATAAATATAGGCCGAGGGGCGCCGGTTCCACGTTCGCTGTTTGTTTGTTTTTTCACTCTTTTCCAGTTCTCTACTTTGCTTCGCTCTCTTTCATTATCTATTTATCTTTCGCTTTACCGATGGATACTACTTACTAGGGATGGCAACAAAATCCGAACCCATGGGTACCCACTCGATCTAATCTGGCCAACGCGGGTAAAATTCGTGTTGACGGGTTTTGGGTCGGGTTTGGGTTAAACCCGCTACACTATTCATCGAGTTGGGTTTGAGTTTAGGTAAACTCGTCCATGGGTAGCCGCCCACATCCATATAATTAATTTTTCCGGATTATTTAATATTCTAAGCAATATATTTTCCTTAAACAACTAATTTTTTTTTAATGTTTGTGGAAACATGTCTAATTTGTTTTTTCTAATTGTGTACAATGAAGTTGATATTATGGAGTGGAGAGTAAAGAAGCTTAGTTGATAAGGAGGAAGGAGCTTTCAATTCATCATGTTGTTTATAAATGTTTATCTTTAATTTTGAACAATTTGTATTGATAATTTGCGGTTTGCTTGCATGCTCAATCTAGATTAGTGTATTTTGTATGGATAATTTTTATGAGAAAATTGATGTGAGACTTTTATTTTGAAAGAAATTTGTTATTGTAAATTTTTTACCACAAAAATCCACGGGTGCCCATGAACCCCCAGATACCCAGCGTGTTGGGTTGGGTTTGAGTTTTTCAAACCCAACGAGTTTTACCCCGGATTTTTTTGGCAGATAAACCCATGAGTTCGGGTTTGGGTTTTGCAAAACCCGCCCCAACCCAACCCATTGCCATCCCTAATGGATATTATTATTTATCCCCCGAATTCTAGGTTATTAACAGCGAAGTCCCTAAGCCTCAATTTCTTCTTTTTACAACTTTGGTCTTATAAGTTTTCGTTTCCCCTCTATCAAGTCCCTTTTGACAATTTCCCTTAGAAACTATTGGGTAAATTGCACCGTTGGTCACTGAGATTACTGTAACGTTCATGTTTGGTCACTAAAAATAATTAAATCCACTAGTGATCACTTAATTTAATGAAAGCGTTCACGTATGGTCACTCTCTGTTAGTTGCCGTCAATCGACGTTAATGGAGTCTGTTAAGTACTGGCGTGACAGACAGAATCGTCTAATCAAATCCTATTTAACCCGAAAATAGTCGGACCTGACCCGCCATGTCTAGGACTGGGAATCCGGTTCCAGTTTTTTGGTTAAACCAAAAACCGGCCAATTAAAACCGTTCTGGTTGCAACCGGAAACCGAATACCCATTAACCCAATCCAATTTACAGTTACAATAGTGATATAAAAACTGGGCCGGTCCAGTCCGGTTAAAACCGGAAAGTAAATAATAAAGCCAGCCCAGTCCAGCCTTCCTGTTAAAGCCCACTACCCCAACTCTCCCAGCCCGCCAGCGAACCCCAGCCCGCAAACACCCTTATCCCAACCCTAAATTGCATCTCCTCCTGGTCAGAAACCTTAAAATTGCAGCAGCTATCCCACCGCCTCCATCAATCTACTCTCGAACGATTCCTTCCCTTCACTCTAACCATGTCGATCTCCCTCTACGTTCTATAACACCGCTTCCAGCCCTCCATCAAACCCCTCTCCAACTAGCCAAATCCCTTCTCAATCTCCCTAATCCGTCCCACTTTCCTCTGCGATACACTGGGCGACGAACGCCGCCGAAGTTCGCCGAAGTGTTTGCAAGCGACAACGACGTCGACGAAGGAGTCAATGAGCTCTTCGGGTCCCCTGCACGCGATGACGGCGGCGACGAGGAGGCAAGAGGCACAAACAAAGACAATAGCCGATGATGGTGACGATCTCCGCCACTCCACCGTTCGATTCGGCAACGATTTGGGTTTGCCTGCAATGGGGGAGAGATTTCGGGGAGGAGAAGAGGGATACGGAAGAAAGATCGAGAAAGAAGAAAGAGTAGGAATTTGTGATTTTCCGGAATAAAGAGAGAGATTGAGAAAGATATGGACGGTTGAGAAGTGGAGGAAGCAAAGATCTCTCTTCTGACTTATCTATTTCATTGTTTTTTTTCCATCTTTCTCCAAACGACAACGTTTTTTTATAGGGGATTAATGACAACCCGGTTTTCGATTTAAAATCGAATAGGACCCAGTCCGGTCACGGTTGAAACCGGATGCCATCCAATCCCGTCTCTAGATGGAGTATTTGTCAAAACGGTTTAAAAACCCGGGTTAATCTGGTCCAGTTTAAACCGGACCGGATTGTTTCCCACCCCTAGCCATGTCACCTAAACCAACTCAGCCCTCTAACCAAACCCGGCCCCTGAATCGACCCCTCTAATTAAATTCCTAAACCAACCGCCTCAACTCACCTCCGCTCCCGGCCGTCGCCAAACCCTTATCGACGGAAGGCGAAATCGCCGCCGCCCTCAACCATCTCCATAGATCCAATCCCCTCCTACTCCTAGCATCCCTGATCGATCGCCACAGCCCGCCCAAATTCGACACCAGCAAGCCCCCATTCACCTCCCTATCCAGAGCCCAGAAGCATCATCTTCCAATAGCTCGCCACAAAAAACGCAGCGCAATCGATCTAAGCTCGCTTCCTCGCGCTCTGCGGCGGCGGAGGGGAGATCCGCCCGGACGCTATGCTGGCACTGACCGCATCGCAACTGCGGAAGGTCGGGCCGCGGATACATGGGCCTCTAGGGGTGTCCCGGGACACCCCTAAAATTTGGGGAAACGATTATCCAACCTCCGATAATAGTTTCGTATGGGTATACAAAATATAATTGGTAATCCGGGACACCCTAACATTTGAAAAAATGATTATCCTACCCTCGATAATAGTTTGCTTATGATTAACAAAATATAAGTGGTAGTCCGTGTTATTCCAACCTAGGACACTACTATTATCAAACATATTCTAATTATGTTGCTACTCATTTTTTATTCTATTTTAAACATCATGCAACAGTAAAACGCTATTTCTTTATCCTCAACTATTTTCAATACCTAATAATTAAACTACGTACACGCTACCCTTAATTTTGAATTGATTTTATGGTTACATGGCAAGTGTTGAAAGAGTCTTTTTTACTTCGAGCTACATTAAGAACAAGGTTAGAAATCGAATCTGTGATAAGTTCGTGAAGTATTGTCTAGTAGGATATGTAGATTTTTTTTTAATAGTGCAGACACGGAGTTTATTTATATTATTTTTTCAAAATATGAAAACACATCATGAATTTTAATAAAAAATTTATACAAGTATGATATTTTTAATATACGAATTATTTAATTTATTATTTAATTAAATTTAATTTTTAAGAGGACACCCCTGTGAAAATTTTCTGAATCCGCCACTGGGTCGGGGTATCGGGTCGGAAAGGGGGTTACCTGCACGACCTAGCGGGGAAGTTCAGGGATGGGCTGCTGTTCGATTCGGCGATCCTAGAGATGACCGAGGAAGCACTGCTGGAGAGGCTGATGGCGGTGAAGGGGATTGGGGTTTGGTCGGTGCACATGTTCATGTTGTTCTCGATGCAGAGGCCGGGTGTGCTCCCCGTGGGGGATTTGGGAGTGAGGAAGGGCGTGAAGAGCTTGTACGGGCTGAATGGTTTTCCGGAGGCGGCGGAGATGGAGAAGGTGTTAGAAACGGAACAACAACAAGATGAGGATACCGAATCTGGAGCTGAGTCGCAGACTAGGTCGCTTTCTTTAAGACGTTCGCGGCACTGCCCTCGATGCGCACGGCAGACTATCAACCGGTTGTCTCCAGGATAAAACAGCTCCTCTGTGTACTCGCGGTTTTGTGCGAAAACCGGAGCTCTCTGAACACTCTCTCTATTGTGTTTATGCTCGTTGTTGTGTGTTTAGAGGGGCTGGGGAGGCGGCTATTTATAGGAGCCGAACCCCTAGGAATATACCCTCTTGCTTGGGGAATAAGTCGGATTAATTAAGGAAGATAATTACTTCCTTAATTAAAACCGTCGGTTAGGATAAATCCTGCGGAGATTATCCTTCGAATATTCCTTTTCAATCGATTATCCCTTGGAATATTCCTTAGAATAACCGATTAATAATTAATTATTAAATAATTAATTTCGTTCGGAATTTCTCCAAAAAATATGTATATAGTCGGTCGGTCGGTCGGACGGACGGCGCGCGCGCGCGTGTGTGTGGTGGTCCGTTAGGTCCTCCCTCTCCCACAAAAGTGGGTCACCCCAAGGGGCATGCCCTTAGGAGAGAGGCTCCTATCTTTATACTCATTTCACCAAGTAAAACTACCAATGTGGTAGTTTTTCCACTTGAGACTCTATAGCTTTCAAAGCTATTCATACACATTTCCAACAATCCCCCACTTGAATAGTTTTGAAACTATCTCTGAGCATCAACAGTTCCATAAGATCGGGCATAAGCTAAGGTATCGCGAAGATTTGAACCTTAGCGTAGTGGTTACACTTCCGATTTCATAAGGGTGACTCGTAGTCTTGAACCCTATCTCAGACAGTGTAGCACACCGGATCTTTTCATTGAGTTGTGTTCTCTTCTTAGCCCGTGCGTTTATGGCCTTGCACGTTACCCTGGTTTAGTGAACGCTCTAGCAACTTTGTGCCTCTCAAAGTTCCATAGGGAGCGGCCCCACTCCCACATTCACATAGGTGAGTCTATCAGGAGTACCCCCAAAGTAAAGTACTCCACCCCACATAGGGTATAGATCTCATTAAGAGTTATTAACTCAACCTCCATTGCTTTGAGATTCATGCTTCATTATGCATGAATTTTTCGCATACTACTCATGACTTGTTATTACCCATTGAACCCATTTCTTGGGATCTCCAGTCTATTGGGTCGGGTTACCATCACTTGTAGTCCGTGGTTCGGTAGGCATAAGTCCCATACCCTTGGCGGTATTCTGGACTTTCTCTCTAGGTAATCCTTTCGTCAAAGGATCAGCTAGATTCTGTTCGGATCTTATATGATCCACCCTCACTGCTCCTATCGTTAGGAGTTCTCTAACAGTACTGTGCTTACGACGAATCTGTCGTTTCTTTCTGTTATAGAACCGGTTCTCAACTTTAGCGATAGCTGCGGTACTATCACAATGTATCAATACCGGAGGGACCGGGCTTTCCCATAGGGGAATCTCTGACAACAATCCTCTCAACCAACTTGCTTCTTCACTAGCCGTTGCTAGTGCTATCATCTCTGATTCCATAGTTGATTGAGCTAGGATTGTTTGTTTCTTTGACTTCCAAGACACAGCTCCACCAGCGATGTTAAAAACATATCCGCTGGTTGCCTTGGAGTCATCTGATAGGGTATTCCAATCCGCATCACTATACCCTTCTAGTACAGCGGGAAACCTTTGATAGTGTATACCAAGGTTTGCTGTTCTCTTGAGGTATCTCATGACCCTCTCTATAGCATTCCAATGCTCTCTACTAGGACAGCTGTTAAACCTGCCAAGCAATCCCACGACATATGCAATGTCTGGTCGAGTGTAATCCGCAGCATAACGGAGACTGCCAATGATGCTAGCATATTCTGTTTGTCTTACACTGTCTCCAGTGTTCTTGAATAGCTTTACACTAGCATCATACGGAGTACACGCAGGTTTACAGTCGAAATAGTTATACTTCTTCAAGATCTTCTCTATGTAACTAGATTGATCTAGAGAATAACCATTTGCTGTTCTAGTTATCTGGATTCCAAGCATAAACTTTGCTTCTCCCATATCTTTCACCTCAAAGCTCTCTTTTAACATGGCTTTCGCTTCATTGACCACGTGAATATTTGTACCAAATATCAACATGTCATCTACATACAAACATATGATAGTGCAAGTGCTATTCTCTGTCTTGCAGTAAATACACTTGTCACTTTCATTCACCTTAAAGCCATGTGAGAGAACGAGAGTGTCAAACTTCTCATGCCACTGTTTTGGAGCCTGTTTCAAACCATATAATGATTTGTCCAACTTACAGACTTTCGAGGCATGTTCAGGGATAACAAACCCTTCTGGTTGTTCCATATAGATTTCTTCATCTAGATCACCGTTCAAAAAAGCAGTCTTAACATCCATTTGGTGTACCACGAGATTGTTCAAGGCAGCAAGAGCAATCATGACACGAATGGATGTTATTCTAGATACTGGTGAATAGGTGTCGAAGAAATCTATATTCTCTCTCTGCCTGTAGCCCTTGACTACTAGGCGAGCTCGGAACCTTTCGATTGCACCATCAGGTTTCCGTTTCATTTTTAGAACCCATTTATTACCTAAGACTTTGCAGCCAGGAGGTAAGTCTGTTAGATGCCAAGTCTTATTAGCCTCTAACGATTCCATTTCATCTATAACGGCCTCATTCCAAAAGTCTGCATCTATGGAAGTTAGTGCTTCCTGCAAACTTTTTGGATCCTCTAGGGTGTATACTGTAGTAAAGTCATCACCAAAATCTTTAGAGATTCTAGCTCTTTTACTTCTTCTGAGTTCATCCTCAGATCCAACACCCCCACTTGTTCCGTTATCTCTAATAGCGGGTAGTACATTACCCCCACTATTTCTCGTTTTAAATGGAAATCGTGTCTCAAAGAAATCAGCATCAATGGATTCTATTACTGTACGAGCATTCAAATCATAGAATCTATATGCCTTACTATTGGCCGCATAGCCAACGAAGACACATTCATATGCTCGACTAGCCAACTTAACCCTCTTAGGATCAGGAATTCTTACGTAGGCCAAACAGCCCCACGTTCTTAAATAGGACAGATTAGGTGGCTTATTCTTCAAGATCTCATAGGGTGATTCTTTTCTATTTGTTTTTGGAAGACGATTTAGCACATAGCAAACCGTCAACAAAATATCACCCCACCAAGAAGAAGCAGCTCCAGAATTGAGCATAATAGCCACAACTAATTCTGTAAATGTCCTATTTTTCCGCTCAGCTTTACCATTCATCTCTGGTGAATATGGTGCCGTGGTTTCATGAATGATACCATGTGAGCTATAGAATTCCTTGAAGGGATTAGAGTCATACTCTGATCCTCTATCGCTCCTAAGTCTTTTTATCTTTCGATTGCACTGATTTTCGAATTCAACCACAAATACCTTGAACATGTCAAGGGCTTCACTTTTGTTTTTCATCAAATAAACAAAGCAATAATCAGAGCAATCATCTATGAAAGTGATAAAGTATCTCTTGCCAGACCTAGTTAACGTCCCATCTAGTTCACAAATATCAGAATGAATCAGATCTAAGGGTTCTGATTCTCTACTCACAGATTTATGGGGCGTTTTCGTTATTTTAGCTTGGCTACAGAAATCACATTTATCAAATTCATTCATTGAGAGTTTAGGGATATGTCCTAGCTTGCTTAAATTCTTCACAATTCGTGTGTTCACATGACAAAGACGAGCATGCCAAACATTCAAATCACACACCATGTAAACTGAAGAATTCATCTTATTAATTTCGACATTCAACTTGAACATCCCATTACATGCATATCCCTTTCCCACAAAACTCCCATTCTTAGTAAGGGTATACAAGTCTGCCCCAATAGATTGATTAAACCCAGCCTTATTAAGAAGATATCCCGACACAAGATTCTTCCTTATCTCTGGAGTGTGCAACACATCCTTGAGCACCATCTTCTTTCCAGAGGTGAAGTTCAGCTCCACTTCACCAGAACCAGCAACCATAGTGGTGTGAGTAGTCCCCAACAACACTTTCTTGTCAGCAGGTGCTTCTTCGTATGTTTTAAACATAGCACGATTGTTGCATACATGCTTCGATGCACCTGTATCCAGCCACCATCCTTCTGAGTCACCGGTGAGGTTAACTTCAGCGATCATATCTGTGATCATGGCTACCAAATCCTCTTCTGTCAAGTTAACCCTGGCCGCAGCGGCGGGGTTATGCTTGTTCCTGCACTTTTTTGCCATATGACCCGGTTTTCCGCAGTTAAAGCAGATAAACGGTGGGTCATTCTTAGAGGTTTGGGCCATGACCCTTTGGTTACCTCGAGAGGCACCATTCTGGTGGGGGCGGACCTGCTGGTTCTTACCCTTAAACCCTTTCTGGTTAGGTTTAAGAGCTCTAGGGGTGGGTCGTTTAGCAGTGACGACCATCACCTCTTCTTTCATATCCTGCTTGCGGGACTCTTCCTCAATCCTTAGGCGAGTAATCAAACTTTCCAGTGAAAATTCTTTGGTTTTATGTCTAAGCATATTCTTAAAATCTTTCCACGAAGGGGGCAGCTTATCAATAATGCAAGCAACTTGAAATTGATCGTCCAGAGGCATACCTTCAGAGACGATCTCGTGAGCTATTTTCTGAAGTTCGTGGGACTGAACTTCGACAGACTTGTCATCCACCATCTGATAGCGCAGGTAGCGGCTGACAGCATACTTCTTAGCTCCAGCCTCCTCCGTGTCGTACTTCTTTTGGAGCGCATCCCAGACCATCATTGCGGTGTTCTTGCTGTCCGCATATTAGTCGTAGAGGTCGTCTGCCAGGCCGTTGAGGATGTAGCCCTTGCATAGGAAGTCATGCTCCCTTTCCTTAGCAGCAGTAGTCCTCTCCTCATCGGTCGCTTCTTCCGGCAGCTCGACGGGCATGCTAGTGAGGTTGTGTGCCAACTTCTTGGTCGTCAGGTAAAACTCCATCTT